TAAACACAGAAAAATGTATGAAATAAGTCAAAAAGACAATGAAAAGATTAACTTTTGTTTAAAAATATTTCCATAAATATTATCATCATTGCCATGATTTTTAACCCAATAATTATGCAAGGTTTATTTCATGAAAAATGACATAGTATAGTCAATTTGATAGCAATGTCAACTTAAGAATTCATTTATTAATCTTTCATTTAATTTAGAATTTGTGGATACGGTGCTGACAAGCAGGTGAAAACCAATAAAGCAGGCCTGCCATATACAAGGCATCATAACTCGGAAAATGCCAAGGTCACTTCCTTCCGTCTTTCCTTACCCCTCTGCAACACCTCAAGCAAAACATGCAGGCATTACTTCTATTGCAATTTGAGAGGAACAATCAGTATGTGTTCCAGACTACAAACTGAAAGAGATTGTACAGAAAATCCAGGGGAGAAAAAGAAAAAGAAAGTTTTTCTGACTAGAAACAGCAATCTTCTTGCACATATTATTCAGTAATTAATAAAATGAAACACAGGCAGAAGTTTAGTATTCTTGCCCTGGACAGCTGATAGAATTTTGAGACAAATGTGTTACAATGGATGAATTGCGTTGACAACGCTTCTGTAAACCTAGATCTCAGAACTGAGCTTGAAGTTTTGCGCCTGGTCCCAGTGACAACACTTATGTCTGCAGCTGCCCTGAGCAGTAGCCAACAGGTCTCTGTTTTGGGAAAGCCCACAATAAAGCCACCAAAACAGTTTGAGAGAGCAATGCCAAAGAATTTCTTGGACTGGATTTATATTTACATACATAATAACAAATAAATACCTTGCCGATCAAAATTGTCCTCTCTTAAGATGCACACTAAGGCAAGAAATTTGTTCACTTCTCTCAAATACAAAATAGTTCCGTTGTTTAATTTTATAAGACTTGAACTCTGTGAATCAAAAGCTGCAGCATCAGTATCCTCACGCAATCTGAAATACACCAAAATCAAATTTTCCTACAAATCACAATCATTTAGGGTTTCATTCACAGACAAAAATGACACAAAAAACAATTGAAATTCTATTTTAAAATTAAAGAATTAAGCTCTTACCCATAAATACATGAAACATCAATAACAACATCAATCATATCACAGCACAACTCATAACTTTGCATGTCCACAGGAGAAGAGTCAGTGGCAATGTATATCTTTGAAACCACATCAAAGAGGAATGCTTTTTCTATTGCAGAGTTCTGCAAATAAAAAGACAAGGATATTTACGCTGATTTAAGTGTATATAGTTTTCTTCATCAGTGTTTACTTCTAGCTTCTCATGTAGCAAAAATACTGGAAAATAAATTTGAATGAGGCAGATGTATTAAATTGCAAACACCAGTTCCTGTATTGATCTTTCCCCGATTATTGACCACAGTTAAAGTGCCTGGAAACATCAAGTCAACCAATTGGGCGCAAAACTACAGATGCATTAACTTAGTTTATTGATGTATCCCATGAATGTGTGCCATATTTTTTCCCATTTTTCTTCTTTGAGGGGATATAAATGTCTCTAATAGCCCCCTTACTCTTTACCTCTTAGCTTTATAAAGTCCCATGAGGACAATTGCCAATTTGTGCATGTGCAATTTGAACTTGCCACATATATTAGCAATTTTCCTGCAATTATAGCAATTATTAGCAATTAGCGGAAGTGATCTGATATTCACCCTTGCAGGAATTATCAATTGCGTTGAGATCATCTTTCTACATAAATTGGATTCATGCTTTTAGCAAGATAAACTTATATTTAGAATGGCCATATTACACTGACTGTCAACTTTGGAAATAGAACAAATTTCCATTGTTTCAACAATGGATCAAATTTGGATTCTTCTAATGAGGATGACAAGTTTCTTTCTGGACTATCTACTAGAAGTACCCTTAGGAACGTCTAGCAGTGATGAGAGTGAAAATGATAGTGATAACGGTGCAGAAGTTTTTATTGGCGAGTTCTCAAGTTTAACAGTTTACCCTTCCTACAGAATAGTGTCAATTTGATGAACAATCCAATCTAATCAGGATTTAAGAAAACCAGTACAATATGCCACAAATGACAAATCCACCACAGCTAAATTCAATTCAAAAGACTCAAAAGTCCAAATAACAAACAACAGACATAAAATATAACTATAGTGAACCTGTATTGCTTTTGGGCGAAGATCTCTTAACTATTTTTCTTATTTGGAGCATTATTCTTTCAACAAAAAATAAAATTAAAATCATACATGAATAGAATTACATTTTCACTATTACTATATTATTAAATGACAATCAAATATATATGCACCTAAAGAGGAGAGATTTAAGAATAAAATGATGCAAGCTAAAAATCAAAGAGTAAGGTCATAATTTATTTAGGTTAAAATTTAGTGTACGATACACCCTTAGAGAAGCATGGTGGCGGGGCTTAAGCCCTAATTACTGTACGTGCTCTAATAGAAATGGATAAAACTTACGGGTAGGCAATTTTCATGGTTCACCCTTCATATGTTTTGTCCACACCGCATTGTAATGCCAATTTACTTTCAAAGGCAAGTTATCTCGCTTCACTCGCCTGGATCCAAGTCACGGTGAGGCTCAGGCTTTTGGCCCTCGCAATCACTATAAACATCCTAAAGTCTATCCAACGCATAATTACCAATCCATTTTTATTAGACATCACTTTTGAAGAAAGCCTCCTGAATTCTAACTGCCTAGTTGTCGCTGGAACGGCGCGAAGTGCCAGTTTAAACGACTTCCCTAGGTTATACTGTAAACTACATGTCAGCCTTATTTATGATATTTTGAAACAGCAAAAATGTCCAGGACAGAGACATTAATACCTCTGGTCCCCTACTCCTCAGGCTAGAACGTGTTAATGAACCCAGTTGCATCCAGTGAGGCACTACAAGTCAATACTCTCTGTTGCATATACTTGAAAGCAGTCAAGATCTCCCTTATTGTTTAATAGGATGGCTGGAATTTATGTTGACATTAAAATGTTTGGGACACGAACAATGTTTGAACAAATAAAAATTGATACTAAAAGTTTTTAAAATACGATTGTGTTGTAATTAACCAAATAATTATTTATCATTAAAATATTTTTCTTTATTATCTTCAAGATTTGTGTAAGCAGTTTATAAAGACTAGTACAAATAAAAAAAATTCAAAAAGTCACTTAAAATACCGATGTTGTAAGATAATTGATTACAAAAAAAAAATGTTAAGTGGTAATTTTTTCATTTTCTTTTCAGAAAGTTTGAATTTTAGTTAATGAGTTTTAAGTGAATAAATGTTACATTTTAAAAATACATACTTACTGAAATGAGAATATTGAGTAAATTTTCTAGAGTTGGTAACTGAGGAATTAGTTTCTGAACAACTTTACTAAATGCTTCAAAGATACTATGGTCATAAATCGATGTTAAGTGAAAACTAAGATGAATCTGGTCAAACCCTGAAAGGAAACAAATACTTTGCATTATAGACAATTTCTATTTTAACAACAACAATATTTTGAAATGTACACCCAAAACATACCAGAATCGGTTAAATCATCTGTAGCTCTCTGATGAATATCACGCTGTGTTTCCATTTTATAATCATCTGAAAGGCCATCTACTTTGTGAATGAAAACCTCAAATTTAATATTTTGATTTACTTTAAAAGCCTTGGTTACAGTAAGATGTAGTTTATTTAGTGCTTCCATATAATCATCCTGGGAAAAAAAAAAAAAAAAAAAAAAGGATCATAGTTTAATTTACCAAAAACAATAATAATCTAGGCAAACTGTTATAATAAATTCATAAAACAAAATGCACACTTTTAGTACTTGGAAACGTAATTACCTGGGCATCAATGACAAACACCAAAGCACCACAACCACCAAATATTGTATCACAATCAAACGAAGTATCAAAAAAATCTATCTGCCCAGGAAAATCCCATATTGAAAACTGAACAAAACTAGAATTGGAAATATCATCCTTAATAATTTTATTTGTGCTTTCTAAGAAAAGTGTTTCATTTGGAGACATTTTATGAAACACTACTTTCTGTATAGAAGACTTTCCACTCCTTAAAGAAAACAAAAATACAAATTAACATTTAATAATTATTACAAAGCATCAATGCATATTTGGATAATTCAATCACAAATCAGCATTGCACAACAATAAGTAGTTATTTAGCCACTCATTCAAAGAAATAAATTTCAGGTTTATAGTTTTAATAAAATCTATAAAACCCACAAAGAAGAACTGAAGTTACAAAACTAAAAGACATCAATAATAAAATACACAGGATAGTTTATATAAGTATACTTTCTTACGATGTAAGATTTCATCTAAAAAAAAAAACAACAACAAATCTTCAAATAATTATTTTGCACATCATTTACTATATATGAAAATAAAATGATGGAATCATAAATTGCAGATATTCAACATAAAGCACATCATAATGTCAATGAAATTAGTAAGATTAAAAAAAAATACACAAGCATTTACCAAAAAAAAACAAACAACAACAAGAGATTAAAATAGTACTATAAACTCAGAAGAAATTAATAATACAATATCTTTCGCCCTTAGTTATATGTTGTTGATTTTGGGGTATTCAAGTTTGAAGTCCATAGAAGCTATGAGAAAATTAAACAAACCTTCGCAGACCCATTAGTAGAATGCGTGGCTTCTGTTCTCCAGCCAAGGGGCTTACGGAATTATCTCCTTCTTGCTCAAATGGACCATAACCAAAATCTTTGGGAAATGATCCAGCATATCCACTGGGGTACTGATCATCATCTTCTTGTTCATAAGACTGCATAATGGAACATGTAAACACCATATTTAGGATAGCCCAATTACACAAATACGGACTAAAACTGAAATTTCACGCAGTGAGATAAAAATTATGCACAAAATACTTTGCCCTTCCAAATCTTGATGTCAAGAGCCCTAATTCTTTGCTATTGTTTTTCACTTACCATTTCGAAAGAGTAAGTTTTGCTTTGTTTTCTTTTTTAGAATGTTCACACTTTACACTGTTCCTTGAGTAACTTCTCTGACTTTTCAATTGCATATACACAATGATGGCAATCCTTGCATCGCACCAACGACCATCGAAAACCTAACCTAAATACACTATTTGGCACCCACTTGTCAATCCGTAATCGTCACATGACTCCTGACATGACAACAAAAGAGAAAGAAACATGATTCATTTTGTGCAAAGAGAAACTATGTTATCGTTCATCGACATATTTGTTATATTTTATTATTTGTCTTGAACAGATTCGTATAAAACACGTGGGGCTTAACAACACTCACTCTCTCGAATTATCTGTAACGTTTCCACAATATTATACCATATTATACTACTTCATAAACCTGCAAGTGTTTAACCAGCGAAGATATTTTTTCCCGCGTCGAGACTCGAACTCAGGTCCACCGAGTTAACTCGCCGTGTTCCACCGATAAACCAAGAAATTCACCAACACAATTTTCAACAATTCAGAGATCAACGAAAATGGGCCTGGGCGACATTCTTTTAACGTTTTTTGTTGCATAAGTGGAAAAATTTGAAGGTTTTTTTGAGAAAATGTTTTTTTTAAATAAATTTGATACATATTAACCACAAATTACGCAAAACTACTCTTTTTTAAGAAAAATGTTCATGATCTTCCAAAAGTTGATTTTTATTGTATGATTATATACATATCCTGACTTGTCATAGATGGTGTATGCTGTATTTGTTACAAATATATTATTATTATTATTAATATTATTATTTTACTTTCTCGTCCTTACTTACATAAGAAGACGAAGTATTGTAATCGTGCGCCGGAAAACGGCCAATATTCGACACCACAACTCTTATTGCCGGGTCTCAGTAACGAAAAATTGGATTAATATTGTTCAAATATATATAGAGAAAATGTCTTCCTCTAACACGTTGTATAGTCAGAATCCATGTTTTGAGGGTCCTCCATACCGAAAAATCTATTGACGATAAAATATCTGTTCGTTCATATGTGGTCAGGTCTAACGCCTAAACCGTTCAATCGATTTTTTCCAAAATTGATATTCCCCAAACCGGGTTAACAACTTTATCGTCTGTAGGCAGGCGAAAATTGCCGCCTATTTTTTTCAAATAGCCTAATAACAATTATAATTTTTGTTCGAAAATTGGACCTCCGTACTTACGGCTGAAATTAAATATAATTTATAATTAGTAATTTATTCATGTTCCATATTTTCTACAGGAAAATAATTATTGTTCAAATTATATATTTTGATGTATAAAATATCTTAAATTTATCATACTTTTTGTCATATTATGTCTTATCACTTCCTTTCATATCTTTTTGACATACTTTTTGTATTGATCGCATTTATGATTATAACGTTCTACTCTCAATTCTTAAAATTACGTTGATTTCTACATTTATCACTAGAAAATTTGAACAAAATAAGACACATACAAACAGATTATCAAAATTAAATGTATTTAAATATGTATAATTTCTCAAATTTATAATATGAATAATTTATATCTTGTAATATGAAGATTCCATTTCGGTAATTGTAATTAAATCTTAATTGTAAGACTTGAAAATGTAAACATCGCTCATTTTGACTTATCACACGTCATATTGCGAAGGTATCATCAGCGTGACAATAAATTAATTTACGAGTATTTAATCATTTTGTTAAAAAACGCATGAATAGAAAGTAAAAAAAAGAGAATAATTGCATGCGACGGAAATGAGGATCTTTTGGCACAATTTTAGTCCATCATTTTTTCCGCCCCTAAAACTTTGTCACGTGTCTCCTGTGCTTATACGTAATCCGTTCCTGGATATTTCCCACTCTGACTGACATCGTGGCCTCTTGAATTTGAAACCGATATTTTAATTTTGGGGGATACTTTACATAAAGGTTTCATTTTCGGTAAAAACTCTGTTTTTCAAAAATTGCAAAAATAAAAAATATTTTCGGCGTTTTGTTAGAATTAAAAATATAGAAGTTTTCCTCTTGATGACTGAAATATGTTCCTTAAAGATAGATTTTGAAATAAGATCATGTACAATTTTTCTAAAATTTGAATACTTTTCGCGTAATTTTGCGTCAAAGTACGGGCGAGAAAGAATGTGCTGTTTTAGCACTAGTTAGCGTAAAGAATACAGAGGAGAATGGTGTAGCCACAGATGAACAGAATGGCTGTTCCATGGTGAAGGTCTCATTTTCATTGAAATCCCTGATTTTTTGAAAATTGTAAAGTGCATTTTTTCGGCGACTTACAATAAGAATATTGAAGATAGATTTTTTTTCCCTCAATGAAATGTGTTGTTTATTAAACCAGCTTTCAATTGTGTATGTATGTTCTGTACATGTAATCACCCTTTAGCAAAATATCGTGCCTACGTTCAGATCGTGATACATCGTTAACGTACAGTAGACGTTACCATGGTGGAAACCATGGTCCCATGGTTACCGGGCGATGGGCGTTACCGCATGAACCACATGTAGTGTAGTGTGAAACTGAGTTGAATAAAAACGTACAATTAAGATCTTAAAACTTGGAGTGTTTATTTAAATACCTAACAAAATCAGTTCTTTGAAATAAGACAGTTTTTGACAATTTTTAAAATAAAATTAAGTACAATTTTGGAAACTTTTAGTAGTTTTCGCGCACTTTTGCGTGAAATATATTCTATTTTATATTTTTAAATGTATTTTGTTTTATTTGGTCGAAACAGTGAAAACTGTATGTGATGTAAGAGGAGGAAGTACCATCTGAGCACGTTTTCTGGAGCTCCAGATTCCCTATTCCTAACATTTTAAATATAAATAATTGAAAGATAAATAAAAGTTTAAAACAATAAAATTGAAAAATAAATAATAAATTAAAATTAAAATAGTGGTGTGGGGCTTCAGAATGGCAACGACTTCCTCGTATTAGTTTTCTATTTTATTTGGTCTCGGCTAGCTATTCAGACTGGTCACAACTCTTGCTAGCTTCCATCTATCGCCGCTCAAGGTACGTTTAAAAAAAAATCTCAATTTTTCGTTTTTATATTAGTAGAACCGATATATTACTTGAAGAATATTATAGAAAAGTAAAACCTCTTCCTGTATGGAATCTTTTGTTGAAAAATTTGGATTCCTTTTAAGAAAATGGCGTTTAAGCGTCACTGTAAATGCGAAATTTACGGCCCATTTTCATAGAAAACTTTTCAGTATCAGAAAAGCTTCATTTAAAGGCATTTGAAGCACTTCAACTTACATGTGCAAAAATGATTACAAATCGCTGGAAATGTACATATTAACGGAGTTAGATTATTTTAAATTATTAAATTTGTGTAATCTTTAAAACAAAGCAAAACAATAGAGCAAAATTAATTTTATGCCATCTTAAATAGTTCAATTAGCGGTTTTAGTCCTTACAAAACAATTAGGAGCCATTTTTGAACACAATGGTGATTGAGCATTTCTGAAAATCCGAAATTTTGAGCTCATTTTTACAGAAAATGTTTGAGTTTTCGAGAAACTTAAAAAGACCTTATTTAATGCGCATGTACTCTTCAATGAAAGAATGTTAACAAAACACCGCTAATTTAAATATGAACAAGGTGAGAGAAATGTCAAAAAATTAAATATTTTTGCAGTAGAGTAATATGGGGTTTATATTATCTCTTTGAGTACATTTAGCTCTATCCTCACCAAAAGTTTAAAGAAAAGATTTGGAGTCCTTTTCGAGAAATTCTTGTTTTTGGTAATTGTTAATATTGCACATATTGCAGGCAATACTGCGCGATAACTACTGAAATTTTCAAAACATGTACATGACCATATCGAAATAACTAAATATGAAAAGAAAATTTTAATTGTGGGAGAATGTCCATCTTCAAGTTTGTGGTTATAGGAAGACGCCGAAAAAATTTCAATATTTTGCAATTTTTAATATTTCAGTGTTATCAGTGAAAATCGGACCTATACCATCTTTATAAAAGTATTTTGATCTATTCTTTCAATAAGTTTAAAGAAAAAATTGGGAGCCATTTTCAAGAAAATTTTGAAAATGTCTCATGGGTTTCATGTAAAGTACCCCCAAAAATTAATGAATTTATTTCAAAATCGCAGAGCTTCGACTCAACAAGCCAGATCGACAGGGGTTTATTCACTTTGGAAAACTCCGTACGTAAAGTTTAGGCGCTAGTGCTGTTCACATACACCAGACAGGCGGATAGACGGACGGACGTTTTAAAAAAGAAACACTTTTTTCATCAGGAGACTCCAAAACGTGTATTATCGTTGAAATCTCGAAATTGATTTTCCGCAACGTTACATAACTTTACATATCACGTATATTAGTCCTTATAAATGTGTGTATACGGAAAAGTAAAATGAGTAATTAAAATATGATAATTCTTCAAAATTACTTATTTTTGGAAATTTTAAGCAAAAAATATTAAAACAATCATCAACCGCCCTTTCAGGTCATTTTAGACTCTATTAGATGCTTTCAATAGATCTATTTTTTCTTGATTCGTAAACATCCGCAATTATTTTCCACGATCTCCTAAAGGATGTAAATAGGCATTTGACCTAAAATCCGTGATCTACTAATACACTTTAGTGAGCCACAATAAATGGAGCCTCGGGACGCTAGTAGGACATCGCGATATAGATATATTGTGCGAGCTCTAGAAGCTCCAGTCATCCGAATGGAGGGCGAAGCGCCTTTCGAGTAGGCAATTTGCTAGACTTGCGAGTAAGCAGTGCTGCTCGACCAACCCCTGACGCCTCTCCCCTTCCTGCTCATCTTCCAGCACTCAGGAAAGTTTCGTGCATTGCCTCTAATTGACGAGTGGGTCGCTATTGCTTTTTTCCTTGCTCCCCTATCGAAATTAGTGGAGCTACATATTGGCATGGCCATTCTCGCACTAGTTAGATTTCTGACCTCTATAGACCAGCCTAGCTTTTTAAGGAGCGTATAATTTTATCATAGTTTCACAATTTTGTGACCATTAATAGAAGAAATTAAATATGACTGTGAATAGGAGAAAAAAATATCATACATGCATATTTTTATTGAAAAAAATTGGAACAGTTTTTCAGAAAATGCTTGTGTGTTTCTAAAAATGTGCACTTCTGAGCGTATTTTCAAAGAAAACTTTTCAGTTTGGGGAAATTTCATTAGAAATCATTTGAAGCATACTCAACAACAGGTACAAGAACGCTTGTAACCTACATATTAATCACGTGAGAGATATGTAAAAATGCAAAAATACTTGTGTAATTTTGGAAAAATCAAAAGAACAAATCAAAATAGAGTTTATGCATAATTATTTCTTTATCCTTTTTGTACAGAAAGAGCTAAACGCTCTGAATTCAGAGCATGTCTGTATACAGAGATCTTTCTGCACAAAAAGGATAAAGAAATAATTTGAACGTGTTTCTGATAAAATCTTGTTTTTAAAAATTGCATTTATTAAATTACCCAAAATTACTAATATTTTGAAACAAATT